CATATTCGACTACTTCCACAGTACTCACCTCAGCTTTTTTCTACCTTCGTCTTTGAAACACTCTTCTTCCCCCCCCCCTCTCGACTTTTTTTCACTTTGATGTTCCACTCCTTTCTGTGAAGCCTGAAGTCAACTAAAGGGCTAATGATAACCATCAAAACGCCTGCCATTTAATATAAATAGATAAACATTTGCAAGCAAGTAAAATCCATATAGGCCGGTAACAGTTGCATCAAAAAATTAATCAAATATTTGAACTCAATCGCTCTCCTTAAAAAACGTTCATGGACACGGAGTACTTGATAATGCCCAGTTACTCGATTAATAGTCGGTCAATTATGATCAAATTGTAATAAGAATGTATCGATATGCCTGAACTGTAGCTATTTGCATAAATTTCGGTAATAAGTACCAACCTCTATATTACCGGCCGTACTGGAAGGGTAAAAAAATACGCAAAGGTAAATGGAAATTCTTCTCGCTACATCTTATTAGCCACATTGATGTACTTTGATTCAATCTCATGTCACTTCGCCAAAATTCGACCTACCATTCCATAACATGGAATAAGGCGCTGGTGTCACTTTCTTTAAACCCATTATTCATTATTTGTAAAAAGATAATCAAACAACTTCTATTTAATTTCTGTACAGTGATTCAAAGACCATTTAGCAAATCACTAAATGTGAATACCGAGTTCATGACCAGGACCAATGATTGAGGAATATATCCTCCGGAAATGCAGCCCCAATGAGTTGAATTCAATACGTTTAATCTCAGACGGTTTTTGAGTCCATATAATCGTATCCGCTACAAGTATCTAGAGGCTAATCAGTACTAGTAAGTGTAGTTAAAAAAAGCCCAATTAGTGCCAATTTATATTCTCTTTAATAATAACTAGATTAAAATATTGACCACAAAATTGTAACAAGAACAGGCAATAAAACTTCAGTTATGAAACTAGGCCCATAGCTACCCAGATCTACACCTAAATAGGTAATGGGGGGGGGGGGGGGGGGGGGTAAATTTGATCCGGTACCAAAATAATATTAAAAATCCATTTAACAACTACCTGACGTGTAAACTGCCATCTCATAAAAGCCTCTGGCATTCCAAACCATTTCGCCACGTTTCAAACAAGATATTAGACACACAAGCATTGATGTTTCGTCTCATTAAAATCTTACAAAAGTTAGGAGAAGCACTACTGGAAACAAGGAACACAATTCCTACAAAATCAGAGACGAAAAGGGACCCACACACACACACATTGCTTTCGGATCAAATGTCAGTAAGTCACCCAAAAAGTGTGCGCGGAAGAAGAGATCAATGAATTATCGAAAAGAATCGGGGTTAAAGAAGCCGGAGTTCAAAGACAGTCTGTACACGAGGGGAGTTTATTAATCCGAGCCCAATATCATTTGTCGATAGGATAGTTCTTGTAGGAAAGAACTAGCAAAGCAAAAGAGCAGAGCCGTTAGTTGATCTCAATGTCGATATGCTTGATGTCGGGAAACTCGTGCTAAAATTGAATAAAAATGGTGATTAATCAATTAGGTTATAATTTTCATAGCTAGTCTCAAGCATCGTAGATGGAGGGATTTGACCATTGAGTGCTGGATTAGCAGGAATATATTGGAGCACAGACATTTCGAGTTGATTTAACTTAAACCAATTATGCAAGTTTAATAAACCGTCTCTAGCATGCGAACTATGGGCAGACCCAAAAAAACTGAACAACCCTGATACTACTGAAGATCGTAATTGTCATGTTGTTATTTCCTTAATACCAAATATACCAATTATATTTTACGAGCTCAAATATGCCTCAAAGCGAGTTTGTTTGGAGATCTTTGATAATTAACAACACTCCGAAAATGAACTAGTAACTTTGGTATTTCTTGACTTTGCTTAAAATACCCCCAGAACGACTTGAGTCCGCCTATATCATGCACACACCCCTTAGCAAATAAAAAAACAAGCAAACAAACTGGTCATAAGATAGGTAAGAAATCTTTTGATGTGACTCCTTCGAAACTTCTTCCGTGTACATGCAACCCCCCCCCCCTCCCCTCCCCCGCAATAGATCGCGCACACACACACACATACGATGGAAGTGGTTAGGAGCTGGGTGTGTGGGAGGTGGGGGGTGGAAGTCACACAAAAATTCCTAAATGATAAGAATAGCGAAGAGAAAATAGCGTTTGGGATTATCGTTAGATACCTGCAACGAAAGCTAGTACAATAAAGGAAAATTCAGTTGACCTCAAGATCGATGTGGATTACATCGGGAAATTCTTCCTGTAAGGAAAAATAGGCAAAAAAACTTTTTACTTTTTCTCGGTCACCAAAGCTAGAGAAGTGTTTAGTCAAGAGCTAAAATCGGCCATTTGCTTGATCCTAGTATTTTTGGGTTAAAACCCTTTACCTTAGAGCAAAAGTATATATGACATGGATTATTAGCATTCTAACTAAGTGATTAGTTTCTCTATTCAATAATACACAAGAGATGACTATAAGTGTGCGTTTCATTAAAATGAAACTGACTGACAAATGATCAAACAAATAGATCTATTCCCATATATTATTGGATTATTCTTACAACTACTCCTGGACGGTGGTGCCTCAAAAAATTTACCTAAAAATCTAAAGTCCTATTTGGAAGCACTTTCAAGCACGCATCTAGGATAGATTAGCACCACAGTCCTCAATAAACTTGACTTCCATCACTGGTCTTTATATTGGACATTCCGCTCGATAGATCTGTACAAATAGGCATTCAGACTCGGCATGTGCCCAGGGGGAATTCTGGCGAAAACGCCCCATGGGAATGCTCGTAGAGAAGAAGGCAGTGGCTTCTAGTGTACCAACCCCCCCCCCCCCCCCGAGACCACAGTAGGTAGAATTAGCGGCCACTCGAGAAGAACTCTGTCTGCAAATGGTATATCAACCAGCTTTCTCAATCTTTGGACCTTTGGAAAGGAATTCGTCATCAAAAGTCAACACAACAAATTAATAGGCATTGGACAAGAATTTGATCAGCAAATCAGGGGGGGCGAGTCTTGATATTCTGAGAGCAGTGTTTTAAACACCAAGTAAATACTGTACAATCGGCCACCAAACATTAACTATATCAAATGAAAATCCCACTTTATTGCCAACATCTTGCCGATAAACTCCTTCATCATTCAGTGTTACGCGACCATAGTAAAAGGGTGATTAGTTATGAGTTGAAATAGCAAAAACAGATAGTATACGAAAGGTAACTAGTAATTGGGGTTAGCTATGATTAAATTTAGTAATTAAAGGAGACTAAATTGACTACGACATGTCGCGAAGATTTCCTGTATCCAAAAGAAGGAAGATCAATAATATTGGGATAATGAGTCACTCCCCCAACTGTGATCGAATTATTCACCATTATTAATTAATTAATTGAAATAGAAGATAAACAGCTTTTCAGGATTAGATCAAATATAAGGAGACAATATGACAACTGAGATTCAATGTCTATCCCTTGCATTAATGGAGCGAAACTAGGAAACATTTTGTATTTGTGAGATAAAATTAATTATTTATCTGAGATAGATAAAATGAATGATTTGGTTGTCAACTATTGCAAAGATTGTACACATTTTTTTAAATTCTCAAATTTCCAGGATGATTGGGTTGTATGATAGGGAGGAAATTGTATAACTTTGCTTAATTTTGGAAGGCTACAAAAGTTGCAATAGTGCATTTACAAGATCTCTCGGATTTGAATTATCTATGCTATGCTATGCTATGCCAAACGGTAAAAATACTGAAGTCAGTAAAAGCCAATCTGAGATTCCAAGTCCTAATTCCAGGTGACCTGCGTTCTACTAAATTTATGCCTCTTTAGATACTAAGCACTTCCATCTTGCTCAGACTATTATATTTTACTACTAATGTTTGGATTTACAGCGCCTTTAATGAATCAACTCGCTGTTTTCTTTCAAAAAGTCGAGTACTCGGAACTGGTAGCTAAGTTGTCAGTGGGTAGAGATTTAACTATGCTGATATTATGAGAGGCATACGGCACTTTAGATTATCCTGGCTAGTAGTTAGAAGCACAAAATTAATCCCACTCACTAATAGTATTTTACTACACTTGCTACACTGGACGAAGTTGCTGTAGGCTTTTTTTGATATTCTGTGGAAAAAAGGCTCAAATCCCTGAACAACCAGAACAAGTGTAGTTCATCTCGCTTTCGGCAACGCAATCTTTACGCTGAGTGGCATAATTTTGTGGAAATCCCAGTAAGTGGCCAGAAATTATACTCGTCAAAAGCGAAAAGTTGTCCAATCAGTGGAAGGAAAAATTTGCCCAGTGCTTATATATTTTCCAATATTTAGGAAATAAGCCTTCGCTCCCCACCCCCCTCGCCACCCCCTACCCCTGGTGGTTCTGCATTCCAAAATCGGCGACTAACACTATGCCTCGGACCGGAGGCGGGGGAGTGGAAAAGAAACAAACAAAAGCGTAGCCATTGTGTTGAGTTGTGTGATACGATCAAAAAGAGATAAATCACCATAACAATAAAATAGCAGAAGTGGTATTATCAGTCACATTTCGGTCGAAACGCAAAATAAAAACTCTTTTTTGCGGTTGGATATAGAAGGTGAGTGGAAAATCAGAAGATGGCTGCATCAAGTGCACCCACAAAAAGGTATATATATAAAAAAATTCAGTCCGTTCTGGAGGTAGGCTAAGCTGAAAACACGTGACCATAAGAAATCAGGGCTGATAATAGTGAGAAGAACACGAATTCTAAGCTTCGGAGGATTGAGAGGGCCAAACCCACACCCTTATGACGAACTTGTTAGGCCCGATTCAGTAAATGAATATAAATCAGAAGAACGAAAAGGTATTTTAACGTTAACGCAGTATAATCTGAGTCGTCTACAAGTCACTCATATAATTCGAGTAGTTGACTGAGATGGCTTCCAGGCAACCTCAAAGTGTTTTAGTGATATGGTCAAAACCTAGTCAAATCATCCGATTTTGCTGCCATCTAATAGAAAAAAACGTCAAATGCGCAAAGAGAATAGCTAGAAGAGCATTTTGAAGTGAGAATACCATAATTTCTGCGGAATTCTTTTTATTTCTACCAGTTTGTAAATAGACAAACTCCTTTCGGGGGAAAAAATTAGCGAGATTCACTCTAAAACTCGACCGCTTAATGGTGTTTCCCTAAATGACAAATGCCTTAGTCTAAAACGCAAATAAGGCGCAAGCGTTAAAACTTTAACTTGAAAGGAAAGTTTTAATATAGAGTCTCCCAGTAACCTAGAGCACACACAATTAAGTGCCATTTTCGCCATTTCTGTAAAGATTTATGGATAGATGTGCGCAATTTAGAAAGATGAATGAATTGAATTGAATGGGATAACAAACGCGTAGGTTTTTCTAGGAATAATGGTGATCACAAATATAAATTGACGAACCTTGATGCTTTCCTCGATTTGATTAATCTCCGCACCGAGGGTATCCACCAAATGGTCTCCATGATACAACATAAACGCAATCATATCGTCCTCCGTTTCAAGTGACTTGATATCCTAAAGGAGAGGAGGAGAGGAATTCAATGCTTATTAATTGGTTAAATTGCCAACCCCGTTGGCACCCGAAGTTAATGAACGAGAGAGTAAATAGATACACATGTTCGTATTACTGCCAATTGGGACTGTCAATTAAGAGGTCGGCACTAGTAGCTACAGGTGTCCAGGATTCGCGAATAGTACCTTAGTAAATTGGACGCTCCAGTTAGTTAAAGTGAACGTAACGCAATGTGCAAAAGCATAGCAAAGAATTGGGCTACTTTAGGATGTTGACTGAAATCAGAAATATTTTAGTGGCACCTACAGCACCTATAGGATTGATAAGTTCAGTAGATATTTTGAAGAATAAAATGAAGGAGTAGATGATAGACGTGTAATAGAAGCATCCATATGCCAAGAAACCTCGAATTTAGTCGAAAAGGCTACAGATGGGCAGTGGAACATCTCAAACAATGCAGTAAATGCTCCCAGTTAGTGAAACTTTTGATGCCGGACTTGTAGGAGAGTATTAACCCATTTCTATTTGCAATAACACGGAATCATAGTGACTGCGCTTTCCTCCAAAATTAGGAAAATTAATGGTGGTTAAATTTAGCACAGAGTTTACTTTATGAATAATTAACAACAACAACTGGTAAATTAACCCCTCCTTTTTCAGTGCTCATAAGCAAATGCCCATATTCGACCGCCATTTATCACTAATTAGCTGAATGCTTGTGTAGAAATGCAAGCAATAATCTGATCGATCAGCACATTCGGATAATTGTATCCTCACATGACTGAATGAGTGCTATTCTCAAAGACCCGTTTGCAGGTTTTTCATCAGGCAAACAGAGAGTTAGAGGCATTGAAGTACGAGTGTTATGACCAGGAGAGTATAGTACCGGATGACCACGGGAAAGGAGGTACCGCGTGCATGCAGAAAGGCAAATTAAAGCTATGTCGTATGTAAACGTAGTAAACGCATCACATGAACTTCGATACACAACTCAGCACATCTCGACGTATTTTGGCAAACTTCTGTTTATTTGCGCGATCGTATTGCGAAATTTCATTTGCAACTCTTCGTTGACGCTAAGTGTAATAGTTCGCAGGCTGTGATGCTTGGAATACGGGGTGCGAAATAGACTTACCTCCCCGTGGTGCAACCTGAGCAACGTATACTTATACGGCCAAAAGTCTATTGATCGGCA